ACAGCATGAGAAACATTATGCATGACGTAACTTAGACATCCAGCTGAGTATTGTTTTTAAAGAACAAATAACTTTAAATTATTTCAGAGAATCAGTTCTGAGGTATTTCAGCTGTCCATTATAAGTGACCTCACTTTAGAGACAAGCCATTAAATCCGTCTTAATTCCCCCCCTTTCTCACTCTCCCTTCCAGCTGCTCCTTACCAAACTGTCTGTCTATCACCTCCTATCTGTCCCTCTCTATTCATTAATAGCCTTCTACTCTAAAAGACATCTGTAACTTCCCATTATCCCTAGACACACTGACCACAGTTGAAGATCAAAGGGATGGCACGATGCATTATGAGCGGGCTGTAATGTACAAATCCAGGAGCAGGGAAATCTGAAAAACATCTAAAGACAATGGCAAGAAATATGGGGCAGCTCACAGCAAGAGAGGGCTGTCAGTTTGCATAATAGACCCGTATGACAAAGAGAGAGCATTCTGGCCGTTCAGTCAATGGCATCGATCTAATGACATTGTGCAGGGTGTGCGACGGCGGCTTCACAAATTGCGTGATTTCTACAGCTACTCTAAACGCGTGATAAAGCGAATTGTGAGTCGATGGCATTGATGTTCTCTACATCTATCTGCCTATCTCACTCTGCTGTGAAGAGGAATGTGGAAGGATGTTGGTCTGCTGAAGGGTTCTGTAAGAATTAAAAAGAGTGTGTGAATGTGATGGTTGCAAGGCAGATGTGATCAGATGCGTGTATAAAAAAGGGGTGTGTGTATAAAAATGTCACACAGACACACACAAACCCAGGGCAAACGGACAAGAAAACAAGATAAGATAACTGCAAACATTTAATGGTTCACACATTTGTCATCTGTCTGCTGAATTGGGCACAAATTCATGGACGGAAGCACACAAACAACACACATGCGCACAACACACAGCCGTTCGAACACACACAGACGCACACAAGGGAATATCTAAAGACGTCTGAGATCTCCCTTGAAAAAGCGCTCTGAAATTAAAATAAAAACACTGCAACACAGCATGTCAATCAAAAGCCGAGGTTTCAGACACCATCTGCATCCAAAAATTTAAAAAAAGGAGAGCGAGAGAGAGAGAGAGAGAGAGAGAGAGAGAGAGGAAGCTGAAAACAGCCTCTCATCCTCCTGATCCCTCTCTCTTTATTTGGCTTGGGTAATTGGAGTAAGTCGGCCATCTCTCTGGCTCTCTAATATTCATTACCATGTTGGTAATTTACCCAAAGACGGTTGCGTGCCTTCCACGCTTTTCAACTCTCATTTATGGCTGTTTGAAAAGATCAAGCTGGGAGCAAGCCTCTGCAGCCTATTAAAGGCTCAGATCCTTCACCGAGACAGACAGGATGGAGCATGCTGCCCCCAAATGGCTATGCTGGAGACTGACAACAATAAGCCCTATGTTCTGATTGGTGTCAGAAAACATGCTTTGAATATACACTGCAGTGCAAAAGCAGAGCCAACGTGAGCAGTTCTTATTTACATCCTACTAAATAACATTATGACAAAGAGAGGTTAAATAAGACCCCTGTACTACTGACTTATAACAGCTACAGTTATGAAGGAAGGTCTTAAAAAGATAGTTCACCCAAAAATAAAAATTCTATCATTTACCCACCCTCATGTTGTTCCAAACATGGCTGACTTACTATAAAAGAAGATATTATAAGAAATGTTTCTTGTTCATACAATGAAATTCATTGGCGTCAAATGTCATTTTAGACCCCAGTGTCCTTCAAAATATCTACTTTTTTGTTTTGCAGAAGAAAGTAATTCAAACAGGTTTGTAATGACATGAGGGTCGGTGAACAATTACAGAATCAACCATCCCTTTTAGACCTTCCTCAATAACCATAACAGTAATAATACAGTTCTAGGGGTCTTATTTCACCTTGCTTTGTCATAATGTTCATTTTTTATTTTAGGGTGAACTACTCCTCTAAGTCGTATTACAACAAATCTATTTCCTCTCAAATGGTTAGTAAATTGCATTATTACAGCTAAATGAATGTGACTCATTGGATAAAACCAATGTTTGTACCCCCTGAATTAAATCTGAATGCTTTGAAATCCTAATACAGATGACTGATTTAAAAATGATATATTATAGGGTTAGTATAATTTGTATGTTACATGTACAGTTCGAAAAAGCTTAAAGGAAATAGTTTGTAATCATTTAAACAGTGTGAACCCTGTGTATCAAAATCACTTCAATTTTACTAATTAGCTTTTCATATAAAGTGGCTTTAAGTTTTTGATGAAACCCCATTCTAGCAAAACTGCAACACACTGAACAGACGTCTAACACAGAGAGTACCCAGAGTTTGTTGTACAAGTGCAAGTATCTTAAGTCAGATCTACAGATCAGACATGTTCAAACAATATGTTCAGCTTGAACAGATTAAGACTCACATCTCTGCAGAAGTTCTCCTCTATCAGTGATAGTACATTCAGTCCAGCCCTGCTAACACAGTGTATCATTGAGAAACCTTTCTGTCACGAAAGCCCTCAGATGTCCAATTCCATGCCCCTGAGCAGTGGATGAGTGCTCAGTCTCATCCTTTCATCCCACTCTCTTTCATCTGTCCATGTGACAGACAGCAACATTGTGCCACAAAAGATGAGCGCACGTTTGGCTGTGTGTCAGCTTTGACTTGAGATGATGAGCTCTGGAACTGATTGTGACACGGTTCTGCCAAGGATAAAACTTACTAGTTAAGTACATTGACGAAACCAGAAACTGCTGTCAGTGAAGTTTTGATGATGTTTTTTAATCTGTTACTCACTGATCTTAGGTTTCACAAAAGTTTGGCCAGCGTTTAATCATGTCAACAAGGTGCACAGCAATCAAGGTCAATATAGCTAAAATAGCCAGTGAATTCATTTACCTGACACTACTATCTTACGACTAAGTAACACATCATAGTGATTCTGATTCAGCCAATGAAGATAGTATCATAAATGCTGTAATACAACAAAACTTCAATAGAAAGGTACAACCTATCACAGAGATGTAGGTGCCACAAAACAATAGTGAAACAATAAATATTTAATTTATCATTCAAAAATTTGGAGTTGTTAAGATTTTTGAAAGAAGTCTCCTGTGCACACCAACGCTACATTTATTTGATCAAAATATAGCAACAGCAGTATGACTGTGAAATATTACAATTTCAAAAAAAAAATTCTATTTTAATATATTTTAAAATGTAATTTATTCATGTTATAGCAAAGTTGAGCAGCTATTACTCCAGTCTTCAATGTCACATGATCCTTCAGAAATCATTCAAATATGCTGATTTGCTGCTCAAGAAACATTTTGCATTATTATCATCAGTAAAACAACCATGCTGCTTAATATTGTTTGTCAAAACCATGTACATTTTGTTCCTAGAATCTTTAATGAATAGAAAGTTCAGAACAGCATTTATCTTTTGTAACAATGTAAAAGTCTGTACTGTCACTTTCAATCAATTTAATGCATCCTTTCTTAATAAATTCATTCATTTCTTTAAGAAAAAATAAAATCTTACTGACCCCAAACTTTTGAATGGTAATGTGAGTATTTAGAAGAGAATTAAGATAACTAATAGACATACAGTACGTTTCCATGTACTTCATGGCTTTGCTGCAGTAAGTAGGTAAAAGGGCAAAAGAGTTACAGGAACACTGACAGGTAAATAAGTATCAGTAAATAATAGGGATGCGCCGATCCGATATTCATATCGGGTATCGGCTCCGATAGTGCCATTTTTCTCGGATCGGGTATCAGAGAGAGCCGATCCAAATCCGAGAATTGTTTTGTTTTTTTTGTTTGTTTTTTTTTCTCGATTGTGCGAATTATTCTGTGTTACTTCTGAAGCCATACGATAGCTTAATGTGAGCTACATATGAATATTTAAGTCCTTACATTAAAGTTCACACAAACTCTTTTCTCCGCTGTGGCTGTCAGTCATTCGTTCAGCCTTTAAACCCTGGTCGCGTTCGGTTACAG